TCCTCCTCCTCCTCCTCCTCCCCCTCCTCCTCCTCTTCCTCCTCCTCCTCTTCTTCCTCCTCCCTTCTAGCTCTGATGATATCTAGTTTGGGTCATGAAACATCTGCAAGAAAATAACTAAACTCAGAGAGCACCAAGGACCACACAATCCTCCTCCTCCTCCTTCTCCTCCTCTTCCTCCTCCTCCTCCTCCTCCTTCCTTCTAGCTCTGATGATGTTATCTAGTTTGGGTCAGGAAATGTCTGCAAGAAAACAACCCAGCTCAGAGAGCAACAAGGACCCCTCATAAGCTTGTCCTGTTTTAAAGTGGTTTATGTTTTATGGTGCAAACCCCTTTCAAATGTCTTTCCAAGATGAAAGATTATTCAGATATACTTTTTAAAATAAATCTGGGTAATATTTTGATGAAACTGGTCATTCATCATGCTACCTGTTCTCCTAACGTAAGCCACAGCTATTATGGAAACTTATACTTGGGTTTGTACATAACACCAAGGCTGGATTTCTTTTTTAACTAAAAACGGTAAATACCCATCACAATAATCCAAAAGTGGTGGGTTAACACCTGCTAAGTCAAAAGTTAGCAAAACTGGCCCCGTGATTGCTTTTTAGGTAAACCTGGAAAGTCATTTCATAAGATTGTTGGTGCGTTCTGCTGATTTCAGAGTATCCAGTTTAGCAAAGGATCATTTCGATTGATTCAGAGCATAATTGTGGAACCTGTTTTGTCAGCTTCTAGAACCCAAATATTAGGAAGATGAATGACTCATGTTTGCGTTTGATTTTTCAGGGACTTTTGAATTAACTGATTCTGAAGCTTGTCCCGCTGGGACAGTCAACATTGAACTGAAATGGAAGCTGACTTACCTTCAGCCAGCCAGCTCCATTGTAGCAACAAACCTCACAGATTACATCCAGAACGAGAAACCAGTGAAGGGGCAAGGAGAAGGTCCACTGCTGCCTCCATCTTTCTCATCAGTGATGGTATTCAGCCTTTCCTTATTGTCTAGAGCTGTGTTCTCTTAACAAGCTGCCCTCTAGATAGAAATGTGACTGATGGGTCTTCTAGACCAGTGGTCCTCAACCTTTTCTTCACCACGGACCCCCTTTAAATACCTTTTGTGGCCACAAACCATGGCCACAGATCACCAAGACACATCCTCTCCACGACCTGTTTTCCTGGTTACCTTCTGGGAGAAGAGGGCTTTGTGATATCCGAAGCAGAACATCCAGATCCAGAACATCCAGAACATGTATATGTATGGGGGTGTGTGTATAGCATATGTATATGTGTTGCATGTATGTGTATAGGTAGATATATACTTTCTTTTGAGAGCAGACAACAGAATTTCATTTTTAATGTGCTCACAGTAAAAAATAAAGGTTATCCATCCATCCATCCATCCATTTATCTATATCTATATCTATATCTATCTATCTATCTATCTATCTATCTATCTATCTATCTATCTATCTATCTATCTATCTATCTATGACTTAAGTCAAAACATTCTTCTAGCCTTCGTGGACCTCCTGTGATGACATCGCAGACCCCCCCAGGAGTCCATGGGCCACAGATTGAGAACCGCTGTTCTAGACCTCGCAATGCACAGAGGACCTAATGGTGTTCTCGATTGCACAAAGGCTTTCTTGTCTCTCATTCACTTATTCTCTTTCTCTTATTCCTTTCTCTTTTAAATCGGGAGTGACCATCTTGTGGACGATAAGTTACAGTAGCCCCTGGTCTCCCTGATGGCAGCGTTCCCAAATTTTGAGATATGTTGGTTTCTTTTCTGAGCTGTTAAGATGATTCCCCCTGGCCGAGTTAGGCAAATCAGATTCTTGTGGATTTTGGCAATTCCATTTTGATGCCAGATGTTTTTGTTTTTAATTTTTAGAGGCCACAGCCTAAGCCGAGACAGCGCTTGGCTGCGGTGGACAAGAAAGTCTGTTTTGTAGATATGGACCCGTTGCCAAATTCAGTGAGTATGAACTTTTCCATTGCATGTGCTTGTTTTGACAACAACAATAACAATAATAATATAAAGTTGGAAGGGACCTTGGAGGTCTTCTAGTCCAACCCCCTGCTCAGGCAGAAAAACCCTATACCATTTCAGACAAATGGCTGTCCAGTCTCTTCTTAAAAACTTCCAGTGTTGGAGCATCCACAGCTTCTGGAGGCAGGTTGTTCCACTGGTTAATTGTTCTAACTGTCAGGAAGTTTCTCCTTAGTTTTAGGTTGCTTCTCTCCTTGATTAGTTTCCATCCTTTGCTTCTTGTCCTGCCTTCAGGCGCTTCAGGTGCCTTCAGGTACTTCTCCTGGCTGTGTATATTTACAATGCAGCCATTGTCTTCATACAATTTATTTTGCCTCGGTAAGGATTTTTGTTTTCTTTTATCGTTGTTAATGAACCAGAAGTTGATGAGAGGGAGTCAAGAACAAACCACCCCATAGAAGCTCCATTCCATTCGAACTCTCTGCCAAGCGATATTGTTATTATTTTTTAATAACAGGAAATTCATTTTTTTCTCCTTAGAAATTTAGTTTAGGTATTATGGGCAGAAGCGCTGGGTGCATCATGCTATCACCTTGCCGTGGACCCAGTAGCCGGAGAGATGGCAGGCCAAAGGCTATTATTTTCTTTAATTAGCACCCTTTGGCAAAATCTTTCAGGCCAGTTTACATATGTCTAAGTCACTCTTCCTGTGCTTTAATTCTAATGTAGAGTCCCATTCCTGAAAAAGAAGATAAAAAGAGCTTGCAGAAAGACGAAAAGCCTGTACTTTTAAATCGTCCAGAGGTAAGAGTCAATTTCTTTTAATCAAGTCTTGAAACAAAGTACATTGAATTTCCATTAGATGTGTTGCATCCAAAGCATGAGCTGACGGTATATGTGACTGATTTGGTAATCTGGTTTTTTTTTTTTAAAAAAAAAAATTGTTTTGATTTGGCCTCAGCACCAGACTTGTGCGTTGCTGATGAGATTGTAACAAACTCTTCTTTTTCTTCTTCGGGTGTAGAAAAATAATTTTGGGTGTCTTATTTCATGTGGCGTTTTCATTCTCTACGGCGGGCTAGTGGCAATCAATGAAAATCTTTATTGAATTCTAAAGATGGTCAATGTCCGCCCAGCTAGCTAAATGGGAACAGACCTGATTATTTTGGGATGGGATGGGATCAGTAACACTGTAAACCAGACAAGAAAATCTGAAAACATCTTGGAAGAAGGAAAGAGGAAAACATTTGATGTTGTTGTGAAGAAGAATGTTCCGGAAAGTCAGTAGGGTTCAACTCAGCTAGAGGAAGCTTTATCATTTTGAAAAATAATGACTTCCGCTCCAGTCTTCTCTGTGTCTTTTTATCGTCAATATCCAAGGCAACTCTGAGCTTTTAAACCAGTGTCTCCCAACCTTGGAGACTTTAAGATAGGTAGACTTCAAGATATGGCTGGCTGGGGAATTCTGGGAGTTGAAGTCCACCTATCTTAAAATTGCCAAGGTTTTGGAAACACTATTCTAAGCGCTTTGGGTAAATCTCAGCAGATTGACCAAAATAAGGCAAGGATGTAGGGGAGGGTGAAATGGTTTTTTTCTGTTTTGCTAGACAGGGGTCTTCAAACTTGACCCTTTTATGACTTGTGGACTTCAACTCCCAGAATTCCTCAGCCAGCATGGCTGGCTGAGGAATTCTGGGAGTTGAAGTCCACAAGTCATAAAAGGGCCAAGTTTGAAGACCCCTGTGCTAGAAGATTCACCCCAAAAGGGTTAAAAGAGAGTTGACTGTTCCTATTTACGACTAAATCACTCTCCCCAAGAAACTATTTGACAAATACTTCTAGCATGGTTAAAAATGGAACGGGAAAAGGAGAAATTGGATTTTGCACATTGAATGTTGGGGGGGATGGTTTTAGAAGGAGCTACGAGACGTGTTCTGTCATGTGTCAGGGATGGGGAACTATGGCCCTTTTATGACTGGTGGGCTTCATCTCCCAGAATTCCTGAGCCAGCCAGCCAATTTATCATGCTGGCTCAGGAATTCCGGGAGATGAAGTCCACCAGTCATAAAAGGGCCATAGTTCCCCACCTCTGGCATACCTTAGAGCAGACTCTAAGATAGATTTACCTCTATGGATTTATTGAACATGGCATATTCAGCAAAGGCTCCCTAATAACAAAAGTATAGGATTAGAGACTCTCATGGGTTTTTTTCTAGCTACTGCAAGGACTGGATACATTGAAGAATGTAATTTCCTCCCCTCGCCTTGATTTTAAATTCGTTTCATAGACGGTACGGATGCCTTATTTGTCAGTCTGAGCAGTCTGAGAATACAACGCCACAAAGTTAACCTTTTCCCGCTGCCAATTCACACAGATCCTTTTTTCATTCGTTAAAACCGGCTCTAAATTCTAACGTCAGAATCTCGGTTGGGTCGATGAATTGATATTAACTCTTGTCCTCCTGCTCGGGCTGAAGGCCCTACGAGAAACAGATGCTGACGGCGGACCAAGCAAACCACCTGCAGCCGAGATGCCCCAAGAACAGGAGGATCTCTCTCAGCTGTCGGAAGGTCAGCTGGCTGACCAGAGTTCAGTTACTTCAGAAGACCAGACTGAAACCGAGGAAGTGGAAACAGAAGGTAGAGATCGAGCCGAGCAGCTCCACCTCGGTTGATCGATTCCATCTCCACCTGAAAATTCCCCTTCTTTTGCCTACCTTCGTGCATTGGCTCGGCCCTACACTGCGCACAGGTAGATCCTCGCTTTATGACCGTAGTTGAGCCCAAAATTTCTGCTGCTAAGCGTGGCAGTTGCCAAGTGAGTTTTGCCACATTTTGTGACCTTTCTTGCCACCGTCGTTAAGCGAATCACTGCAATTGTTGTTCAGTTAGTGACACAGTTGTCGTTAGTCGTTCAGTGAACCTGGCTTCCCCCATTGACTTTGCTTGTCAGAAGGTCCCCGGGATCACTGCAGCTGTCATAAATGGTATGGGGGTCTCCTGCTTGAGCAGGGGGCTGGACTAGAAGACCTCCCAGGGCCCTTCCAGCTCTATTCTGATTGATTGATTGATTGAAATATGAGTCAGTTGCCAAGTATCTGAATTTTGACCACGTGACCCTGGGATGCTGCCACAGTTGTAAGAGTAAATAAAAAATGGTCATAAGGTACTTTTTTTTAGTGCCGTTGTAAGTTCGAACGCCGAGGACTATCTGTATAAGTATTTTAGATAACTGTCCATGGAGCTTCTCAGTGGTCCAAGTCATGGTTGTCCCAAAGGTGCTTTTTCAAGAGGCAACTGGACTGAAGGACTGAAGAAGCTTCTTGCGTGAGAAGCAAAACGTCTTCAAGGAAAAACAAAGAAAGTCCAGTTGCCTTTTTAAAAAAAAACCACCTTTGGGACTATTTTAAAAAACCACAAAATCTCTTTAGACATAGAATGGGAATTGGCCAGCACAGGTATAGCCCCAGCAATTGCTTTGATAAAGTTATTTCATATCTTCTCCTGCCACCTGTCAGATATCAAGCTCAAAAAAAAAAAAATCCAGTAAGTTTTATACTTAAGGGAATGGGTCCCATTCTCCTGTAATTCCCACCTTAGCAGAAATGGCTGCCTTGCTAACATCTACCCCAAAAGCTCTTCCTTCCTTCAAATGCGAGAGAAATGATGACTCTTCAGGGACTCATTTTTTTAGAACGCAACTGCTGTAAAAGGGAAGAAAAACCCACAGTTGCCAACCATTTTCACTGCTTTGGCGGCTGGTTTTGGGCCATAAATTATTCCAGCGTTCCTGGAGGAGAAGACACAGAATAGCAAACGTTCCTTTGGAGGATCTGTCCATTAAGCTATTTACGTCATTCTAATTGCCTCTCCTTGGAAGTGTCACCATCATTAATTCCTCTGGCAGTTAAGCCATCCATCATTATTACGAGGGCAAATCAGACCCAAAGCTACAATAGAACCAGGTCCCAGCGGACGGTGCGTGTATGTGAAAACAAGCTCTGGCAAGCCAGAGAAGAATCCTTTTGACCAAGGCAGTGCCAAAGTCACCATGGGAAAGGCAGCCATAGAAGATTACAAGCCCACCTCACCGTGGGAACCGGTGGGCTGTTCCATCCAGCTTGTGGGAAGGTCCCACGGTTCTGAATACTCTCTGGGTGTCCCTAGTACAGTCCATATTAGGTTGGTGGTCCATACTGAATCTTAAAAGAAGTGGGCGGGTGTTTTATTTATTCATTTCATTGGGAGCGGATTATAATCTTGAGTATCTCCGAGATCAGAATGACGAATAACGGAGTTGGGAGGGACTTTGGAGATCTTCTGGTTCAACCCCCTGCTTGAGCAGGAGACCTTATAACATTCCAGACAGATGGCTGTCCAGTCTCTCCTTCGAAACCTCCAAGTGATGGAGCATCCACAACTTCTGGAGGCAAGCCGTTCCACTGATTATTTGTTCTCACTGTCATGTAATTTCTCCTTAGTTTTAGGTTGCTTCTCTCCTTGATGAGTTTCCATCCGTTGCTTCTTCTCCTGCCTTCAGGTGCTTTGGAGAATAGGTCAACTCCCTCTTCTCTGTCTCAGCCGCTCAAATATTGGAAGACTGCTATCACGTCGTCCCCCCAGTAGATCAAAGTATCTCCAAAATCAAACGTAGATCAAGAAGTCGCCACGGGGTTCAGGGGCTGCCACAAAGAAGAGGGAGTCAAGTTTTTAAGTTTTTAAGAAGAGACTGGACAGCCATTTGTCTGAAATAGTGTAGGTTCTCCTGCTTGAGCAGTGGGTTGGACTAGAAGACCTCCAAGGTCCCTTCCAACTCTATTATTATTATTACTATTAAGTAGCCAGGTGAATCTGAAACAATTTAACCCCCTTTGATTGGTCAATGATGTGTTTTGTCTGCCTGGAAAAGCCATGGTCCATTGTTGCTTGGAACCGTAACCTGTTTAGCTTTCCTATTCTGCAGTTCGTCCTTTTCTTTTATAATCTCAGCTGTGCTTATCTTGGCTAACCTTTCCTTTTTTGCCACAGATCAGGAGGACCAACAGGCCACCGCTGAATCAGTTACCGACAGTGATGACTGTGTGATTCCAAGTTCAGCGTCCTCAAGTCTTATTCAGGTTAGTCAGAACCAAGAAAGAAAAAAGTCCTTCTTCTCAAAGTACTCAAAGCATTCTTCCCCNACTCAGGGGACTTGCCTCAGATTAGTGGGAATAATCCAGTCAAAGTTAACTACTTCTAAAGCCCATTGATTCCAGTGTGTCAATATGAAAAATGGGCTTCAGCGCTCCACTTGAAATCAATAAGATTTAAGTATTCTTAACTCAGGCTCAACGGAGCAAGAAGCTAAATTAAGAGAACTAACTGTACAACGAAGCGAGGAAAGGCAACTGCTCCTGTCTTAATAACTCCGATGTAATACTGCTTCCTACAAGCAGAAATTCTAATGCTCAGGTTGTGACTATTCACTCAGTGCCAAGAAACATATTATTTATGGCTAAGACCTCTAGTCACATAGATGTTATCTCAAGGTGATATACTTTCTCCATAAAAACATCTACAAACAACGTTCACATCTAAAAGGTTGAAACCTCCTTAAACTCTCCCAACCATCCTCGCTTTGTGGATGTTGAGTTCCGTCGTCGTTTTGTATTAAGAAGAGTCACAATTTAGACTGGCCCGCTGTTTGCAGGGTTCCTCGACCTTGGCAACTCTTGAGGTGTGTGGATTTCAACTCCCAGAATTCTCCAGCCGGCCAAGGTTGGGCCACATAGATCTAATGTAAGACGTAGCCATATCACCCGCTTAAAGGCACAGGGGGAGAAGCCCAGTGCGATCTGGAAAGGAAGAAATTCTGCAAATAGGACGCTAGTAGACCCCAAAAAATGCTGTTTGCCATCAGTACGTCTACGATAAGGGAGTCCATGTAGCTGATTCAAGCAGCCACGAAGTTGGACAATCTTCTGGTTCTGCCATTTTACGCTGAGGACCAAGCAGATCTTTTTCCCAAGGAAAGGAATAATTCACTTTCCCATTTTCCTCTGTGCTGTTTTGACAATTTGTGTCCATTTGGAGCAATTCCTTAACGGAAAAAAAAAATGTGTCATATCCGAACATGAGCTATGAAGGTGACCCAAACATAATGAATGGAAGGAATCAAAGGGTTTTTTTTTTTGTTGTTTAATGCTCAACTGGCATCAGCTTTCCAGATCTCTTAAAAATCCTGGGAAGGAGAGAACTAAGAAGGGTTCCTACGTAAGGGAATGGTCTTGAAATAATTAGCTGTATTCTGTCGCTTTAACGTAGACTGTGATTGAGGAGCTCTGATAAAAAACCTTTCATGATGATTCGAATACAAGTCCGAATTATGTGTTCTCTTCACTTCCCTCTGTCTGGGGAGAAATCTAGACTTCTTGCAAGCAGAATGTCTTGTGTTTTCTTTCCAAGGAATTGCTACCAAGCTTTGGGAAGGTTCGGAATTATATTCCGTCGGCTTCTGCTAAGCTCAGCTTTGATTTCAGCATCCACTTAATTCGGTAATAATTTGCTCCAATCTAACAGATGCTCCTAGTCCTAGTTATCTGAGTGCTGGGAAAAAAAATAATAATAAACCCCCAAAATATTGAAAGATTCTTCTGCTAGTTTTCTCATGAACCTCAAATAAATAACACACCCCATTGTTTGAGCCATTGACGCCTTTCCTTTAAAAAAAAAAAAGCAGATTACAAATTAGAGCGTCGGGAATTATTTCTTAGATCATAAAAAGAACCTTAACATGTTTTCCTCCAGAATTTAGCTTTACAATTGCTCTTTTTTCCTCCCCCCCTTCTCTTATACACACACACACACACACACACACACATACACTCTATCTCTTTTTGTCCGTTATGTATAATTAATCGTAGATTATTTCATTTCGTTTACAACATTTATGAGCTCCACTTCGTCAGTACGAAAGGCTTGTCCCTTTCTTTTTCTTTTCCAAAGTGGCGTAATTAGTGTTAGCATCTTTTTCTAGCAGGCTACATAAAGTTTAGTGGCTGGATTAAATCATGTCATTAACATAANTAATCTCAGCTGTGCTTATCTTGGCTAACCTTTCCTTTTTTGCCACAGATCAGGAGGACCAACAGGCCACCGCTGAATCAGTTACCGACAGTGATGACTGTGTGATTCCAAGTTCAGCGTCCTCAAGTCTTATTCAGGTTAGTCAGAACCAAGAAAGAAAAAAGTCCTTCTTCTCAAAGTACTCAAAGCATTCTTCCCCGTGTCCTTAGCAATGTGGTTTTCTTTGAAGAAGTCTGCATTGAGTTGGATTCCTCTTCTGAATCCTTCTTTGAAACCAGAACTTCGTTGTTGAGGATTTTTGAGGTTGATGTTTGGACACGGGGATCTGGGGTCACATCAACCATCAGTCTAGACGAGGGGTGTCCAACCTTGACAACTTTAAGTCTTGTGGACTTCAACTCCAAGAATTCCCCAGCCAGCCTTGCTGGTTAGGGAATTCTGGGAATTGAAGTCCACAAGTCTTAAAGTTGCCAAGGTTGGACACACCTCTGGTCTAGACTCTGTAGGGATTGGCCAGTGTGATTCAAGGTGTTACAGAGAACTAGCCCTTGATTTTGGGCAAGACCTTTAAGATAAACATTATCTAGTTCCTTTATTAAATCCTTTGGGGATTGCCTATATTATGTATTTCATTAATGCAGGTTTAGAATTAATGCAGACCTTCCGTTATTTGGGATTGTGTGATCCTAATTAGTTAACTCATTCCATGCTGCCAGGTTTCCTTTGACAATCTGGCCTGAAATATCTTAGCCTTGATAGGATAAAAGTATGGATTTAAAGATAAACAGATGCCCCACAACGGGCGACAACAAAGGCTGTTGTTGACGTGACTGGCTCTTTTTTCTGTCCTGTACTTGGTCAGGATTTTGAAACGTTGCCATCTAGAGAAAAAGTGTGTGAGTGTGTGGGGGGGAAACCCCTCCTCCAGCAAAACTATTATTTTAATAGGTGGAACGGCCTTATGATTAACGGCGTCTTCGGTGCCATCCAGTTCTTCTAAGCCGTAACAATAGGAGCCAAACAGGAAAATTACTCATTCTTAGGCAGCCTTGCAGAAAATCTTGGGGATTGTTGCACTCCATTATATCGAGAGGGAATTAAGAAGATTTAAAATACCTCACGGGTTCAGAAAGATTCACGTGGGACGATCTTTCTGACTTTTTCCCAGTCCTCTTTTTACAAGGGAAGGTTGGGGGACACTGCCAGGAGGAGAAGAGAAGGAAGAGAAGAAAAAAAACACCCACCTCTGATCAGGTATCTGTCATTACAGATAGTCCTCGAGTTACGGTGACAATTGAGCCCAGAGGTTACGTTGCTAAGTGAGAAATTTGTGAAGTAGGTTTTGCCCCACTTTACGACTTTTTCTTGTCACCCACGTTAACCGAATCGCTGCAGTTGTTAAACGAGTGACACGGTCATTGGGCAAGTTGAGTTTGGCTGGTCAGAAGCTCGCAAGAGCTGGTCAGGTTGACCCCCGCGGGGGACACGGCTGCCGTCATAAAGGTGAGTCGGTGGCCAAGCGACCGAATTTGGATCCCGTGACCGCGGAGATGCTGCAGTGGTCCTTCAGGGTGGAAAATGGTCATCGGTCACTTTTTTCAGTGCCGTTGTCACTTAGAATGGTCACTAAATGAATTGTTGTAAGTTGAGGACTATCTTTAGACATGATGGCAGTCTTCCAGTATCTGAGGGGCTGCCACAAAGAAGAGGAGGGGGTCACGTTATTCACCAAAGCATCAGAGGGAAGGATGAGAAACAATGGTTGGAAACTGAACAAAGAAAGAAGTAATCTGGAACTAAGGAGAAACTTCCTAACAGTGAGGACAATTGACCGGTGGAACAGCTTGCCACCAGAAATAGTGGGTGTCTCCATCACTGGAGATTTTTAAGAAGAGACTAGACAGTCACTTGTCTGAGATGGTATAGGTTCTCCTGCTTGAGCGGGGGGCTGGACTAGAAGACCTCCAAGGTCTCATTCTATTCTATTCTATTCTATTCTATTCTATTATTCTATTCGGCCCCTATTTTCATATTTTATTCTATTCTTATTTCTAATTCTATTCTATTCTGTTCTATTCTATTCTATTCTATTCCTTATTCTATTCTATTTCTTATTCTATTCTATTCTTTATTCTATTCTATTCCTTATTCTATTCTATTCTATCCCCATTTTCATATTCTATTCTATTCTATTCTTATTTCTAATTCTATTCTATTCCTTATTCTATTCCTTATTCTATTCTGTTCCTTATTCTGTTTCTTATTCTGTTCTCTATTCTATTCTATTCTATTCTATTCTATTCTATTCTATTCTATTCTATTCTGTCTCCATTTTCATATTCTATTCTATTCTATTCTATTCTTATTTCTAATTCTATTCTATTCTATTCTATTCTATTCTATCCTATCCCCATTTTCATATTCTATTCTATTCTATTCTTATTTCTAATTCTATTCTATTCCTTATTCGATTCTGTTCCTTATTCTATTCTATTCTATTCTTGTTTCTGTTTCTATTTCTATTATTTATTTGACTTGCTGCAATATCAGGACAAACCAGTGTACACACAGGCATTAAATTAACGACCGGGCCTGACGTTTCTCTCTTTTTGCAACCAACGAGGATAAGATACGGTTATGAAGAAAGAACTCGGGCAAATCCCTGAGTATTTAAGCAACTGGTGGAAGAAAGACTGCC